CATTTTGCATTTTTTCACTGATACTTTTTATTCAGTTATTATGAAGATAATTTGCAATAATTTTACATACAGGACCCAGGCATTGTCATAGGGTGAGCTACTTATACACTTTAAAAAGTGTGAAAGAGCAGGGATATGTGATGGCAATCAATCAAAACCATCTAGTTACATTTTTTCCAGCTTGAAGACAAAGAAAAGCAGTTAACAGTTGCAAAAGAAGATGCAAAGGGACTTTCTCAAACTTTGGAAGAGATGCACACCAGAAAGACCTCCTTGGAAAACATCATTGCAGAATTAAAAAGGTTAAAAAATCAAATATTATGATAAATTATTTTAGTTATTTTCAAATGACCTACTGTTGACAGAAAATCGACACTGCTTGATTGCACTTTACACGCAGACATACAAGTTTAAAAGAGAAAAAGAAAAAAAAATCTGTTGGCAAGTCCTTTGGGTACATCACTGAAAACTGCCAGACTATTAAAGATCAATAACACCTGCACTTAACTTTTTTCTTCTATAGCAGGCTATCTATGGTAGCATAATGATTGCCTGTGTGTTGTGAAATCAATCGATTTTTGTCTCCAGAATTGTCAGATTTTTCAGGAGAAATGAAATTAGCTTTGCCATGATCTAGAAATACTATTGAAATGAAATGGTAATGATGACACAGGCTAACTTAAGCACTTTAAATGAGTTGAGTTCATTTGACTTTATAATGGTTTTGATAATTTGACTGATTGCTTTGCATCAAATTAACTTTTTTATTGCTATATTTTTTTTTCGGTTTGTTTTTGATATGCCTGGGTGCAGGCCGTGATGCTGCATGAACCTGAAATAACCTGCTGCTATTATACATGGGTGAACATTTTTAGGATGATGCCTGATGTTCAGTGTTCATTTTGATGCCTTTTTTAATATGATCTAAATTCTCTGAGAAAGATATTTCAGGATTTTCAGTTTTTACAGTTTTCACCCATGGGTTGATGAAATTTAACTTCTGTGCAAATTTGGGCAAAATTATATGATAAAAATGTAAATATTTTTGTTGAGAAAATATTTTGTGGTATCATGTGTTCGAAAATGTTTTTAAAAAACTGACAACTATTGGCATTTGCTGGACTAATCTCCATCTCATGCATGCACAGAAGTTGTGTCAGCCTTTTTTTCATGGGCTTCACATGCTAAGGTCTTTACGTGTTTGAAGTTTCATTAAAACCTAAACATAGATGGCAAGACAAAATTTGGATAATGCAAAAGTACAAATTTGATAAGGATGTGAAGAATTCAGAAAAAAATTCCCAGGCGTACAACTACATCTGAAGGGCTTCATGTTTATGAATTTATATTAGAAGATTTATAGAGAGTAGGAAAGGAGAGCTGGACAAGATTTGTCTAAATTTGTCCATACACAAACAAAGGTATACCAGATCATTGTTTGATATAATTGATTGTCATTTTTACCTCTCAGTATAATTACACAGGGGATGTAATCAAATGCATAGGCCCAGGCTAGAAAATACTGACATTTCCAACCTTCAGTCCTCTTGTGCACAGTCCATTAATCCTGAGTAATAGCATAGCTAGAACCAGGATACATATTGATTGTTCAAAGTGAATTAGAGGAGGTATAACTGCATTACCTTTCCAACAGTATTGAAGAAGAGATATCAGTTGATTCTGCTGTAAAGCCTGTGAAGTAATGTTGCAAGCAATGTGATGAAGGTGCATATGAAAAAGAAGACCATGGGGAACTGTGTACCACCAGTTAGAGGCATCACTCAGTCTAGGTGTAAATACAACACATTTTAAATTATCATATTTAATGTGCTTTTGAAATGCATTGAAAATAGTAACTTTTTAACTTGTCTTCCTTTCTCTGTCCTTTTTAGAACAAATAATGAACTTCAAGAGAAATGCAGGGTAAAAGAAGGTAGGTCTAGTTAATCCTCTAAATGTGGTTAGCAGTAAATCATTGTTTGGTTGATGTATTAAGTGCACATGACACTAATCTGTCTCGGATGGAATGGGATATCAAGGACAGATCTGTTTTGGGGATACTAAGAGATCTAAGTCTCTAATATCCTATACTTGCTTTCTATTGTTTTAAAAAAGGCAAATGTAGATAGTCTTGGACTGACTTGGATTGTTTGTCATTTCTCTAGTCTAAATGCTATACAAGTTATTCTATTAGTGATTGTACCTCCTAAGTCATAGAATGCTTTTATGCAGATGATACGCCTTTTATCTGATTCATCTTAATATACTTTGTTGTCATTGATGCTGATTGATGGTTGTACATAATCACTGAAAGCATTTACTTATTTATAGTTTACTTAGCAATTTGTTCCTTTACTTTTTGTTTTTATTTTTATGAAAAGGTCTAGTAAGTAGCTTGGAGGAGGAACTTGCCAAATCTGTCAATATTGCGAGAGAGGAAAAGGAAAAAACATTATCTTTGCAGGTAGGCTTTTTACTTGCATGAATTGTTTCAAGTTAATTTAGATAAAACTTGTTTATGTTTTATTTTATTATTTTTATGTACAGACACAGATGTGTAACCTTCACCCGGGTCTGTTGAAAATGTTCAAAAATGAACACCTCCCCTGCCATTTTTAGGTTCTAAAGAAAAGTTTTATTAAAAAAAAAAAAAAAAGGAAAAGTAAATTGAATACAGTACTAATTTACAATTCATATAAATTTAATTCCAATAGTGAAATTACCTAGGGGAATGCAGGATATGCAACTGTAACTGTTAAGCACAGTGGTGGGCCTAAATTCTTTCTCTAAGTAAACCTGGCGTAAAAGGGACTCACAGCCCTCTCCCATGAAAAGATAATACCCAGTAGGCTGCTTTATTTTGTGCAAAGTCGCGTCATCCATGAATGTGTTACACACACCAGTGCAAACAACTAATGGTGTAATGCACAGCCAAATCATCCCGAATCATCAGCATGTAAGCATTGTGCCTCACCAATAAAGGGTACCGGAGGAGATCAGCATTGGTCAGAATTGTGCCGGAAGTGACTTGTAGTGGTGTAAGACATAAAGCTGAGTGGTCATTTTTAGCTGGAGATGAATGGGACTGAAGACGTAGGCTTGGAGAAAAAAGCAGTTATTCTAACAACACGTTAAGATAACATCTTTATGCATTTTGGGTGGAGAATACTTGTAGAAACAATAGGCACATGATATGAAAACATGTCACGGAACTTGAAGGTGCAAAATCGTGCTAAATTTGCAGTCAATTTGTTTTGAAATACATGCTGCATCGACCGCCAGCGCGACAAAGAGCATAAAGGGAAAAGAATTCCCAGGAGGCTAGAAATCTTTGTCATGTGGAATTTTGGCATTTATATAATCTGATATGTCCATATCTAAGTATTTTTAGGTGTTTTATGGTATTGGCGGCAATTATAACGATGTTTTAGGGTCTTTGAAGGACCTTGTGAAAACCAGGAAGTATTTCGTAACTGACAACTGACAACTGATCCACAACTACTGCTGTGCAAAGATGTATCTATTTTTAAATATTTTGACGAATTTTTAGATCTTTATATGTCCATCTGACATGAAATTAAGCACGATTTTGCACCTTCAAGTTCCTTGTCACATTTTCATATCAAGTATTCTCTTCCCAAAATGTGTAAAGAAGAAATGTTATCTTACCAACTTGTTTGAAAAACTGCTTTTTTCTCCGAGTCCACATCTTCTCTCCCGTTCACCTCCAGCTAAAAATGACCACTCAGCTTCGCGTCTTACACCACTTGATGTCACACTTCCCACACAATTCTGACCAATGCTGATCTCCTCCAGTACCCCTTATTATCTCCATTATTTTAAAGCTTAGTGCCTCGTACTTTATCTTAACCTAAAAGTATGTAGGTGGATAGTTTTCAAGGAAAACCAATAGGCCTGTTATCTTGAAAATTGAAGAAATGATCAATGTTACTGTGAACATGCTGAAGGATGGTCTCGGGGTGGAATGACAAAGTCAGCTTGAGGGTTCAGTAGTTTATTTAGTCCGCATAACTAAGACCTAAAATGATAAGTTATAATACCCTTCAAACGTATGCACAGCTTATTGTTGACAAAATCTACTTATATAATTGCAATATATGTCAGTAAAATGTTATAAACACATTTGCAAAGTTATGTAAGAATATTATATGTATTTCAGACACTAATTGTCTCTTACTATGCATACATACAAAATGAGTCGATTTGTTATTTAGAGCCCAACTATAAGACCACAACTGGACAGCTATGGCTTCTGCCAACTGATTATGTGGGAAACCGGAAACCATCCGACATTTTTTCTTTCAATGCCCACTGAAACAGAGAAAATATCGTGATCTCTACGAATCTGTTGAAGATATACTTGGTGTAACTTATGCATATTTCAGAACCCTACTAGATAAGATATCCCTCTTCCTACATGGCCATAAAACACTAACATCTGGACAAAACGACAAAATTTTCGAAATAGTGTCGGATTTCTTAATCAAAAATGTCTGAATCATCTTCCATTTCTGTTCTGGCGTCTACCACTCTCTCCTGATGGCCTATTGCCCCCCCATAATTACCTTTCCCCCATGCCCTGCCCCTCACTCCCATCTAATGCCACTCATGTCCTCGTCACTGTCTTTTCCTTGAATATTATTATTATTATTATTATTATTATTATTATTATTATGTACAGACACAGATGTGTCTGTACATATAGCCATCATCTGCGTCTGTCGTCGCCGTCGTCGCTGTCGTCGCCGTCGTCGCTGTCGCCGTGCATTTTACCGATAACACGATAAGTGGANGTCTGTACATTTGACAGCTTTGCTGCCTTGTTATTAAATTTCAAAGGTGAGCATATAATGCCTAGGTGAATTGCCACCTTTATTTATACTTCATCAATATTTAACCCTCTTGAGAATAAAGATGTTTGAAAAAAAAAAGTGATATATGTAACATCGTAGGTTGGATGCAACGATCTTCCCATTTTAATGTACAATCTCAACTACGGCATCCACTCACCCGCAGCGGAGGGTATGCACTGGTTTCGTCGCTTCAGCTCAATAACACATGGGGCTAGGCAAGTCCTAAATGTATACATAAGCGAGTCTTAACACCACTTACATAGCATTTTAACTTATATGTAACATAAAGAGGCTAGTCACAAGTCTCCCACTTATATTTAATGCGGGCTGAGCAATAAAAAAAAACTACAGCCATTATGATAAATTATTGCACTAAGATACAAGGAGCATGCCGCATATGTCAAGGCAATGTAAACCTAACCATAACTGTACTTGCGTCTGCTAGTGACCCATTACAAACATGACCTGAGAAGTATGACATAATATCCTGAGCACCTCAGGGGTTGAAAAAAAGTGTCGTCACTCGTAAATTCCAGATAGTGAAAGCACGGGGACGACCCATTGTGAAAGGTTACTAGTCCTTTCTGACGAGTGTCAGTTTTGATCCCAAACAGTGGTCACCGGTGCTACTTCACCATTTCTATCAATATTTTCGCATTTATTTTCAGTAAATCTTGTGAATTAGACATATTTTCTCACTTGTTTTTCCTTTAGAACGTGGGCCGCGCCATATTGGATATCACTGCACATGTGCGCATAGTAATACCACGGGAATCATTAGTTCTGCAAATTCCGTGCGTAAGCGTAAGGGGGTGATATTCTATGTAGTTTTGGAGATCGTTATTGGTCCGACCGATACAAAAGAACGGCTCTCATTGGTCTTAGATGATGTTATTAATAGAAACCCCACAAAAAAGTTACATGCGCTCTGCATTTGATAGCTTAGCCACCATTTTTAGGGTACTTGCATTAACCGTGATGTGGAATTTTTTGCACATATGCAAGCCAAAGCAACGAGATATTCTGAAGTACCAAGCACTAGTTCGTTTAGTCAAGAATCCAGCGCTGATTCAGAATGTAAAAAAGTCTAAAATGACTATCTTTAAGATTCACTTCTAAAATTAAGTCAGAGGGAGGCTGAAAACATTTATCATGAAAAGATGGGTTTTTAGTGAGGCTTTTAAACTATCGCTGTCACTTTCACTTCTGATATTTTAATGTTAATTAATTCTTTTAAAAAAGAATGAAGAACTGTGGGTAAAACTTATGATGTGTGAAAAATTAACTTTATTTGAATAAATAAAGTCATTTGAAAAAACAGTGTAATTTGTAATTGTTGAAATGCATACCACATCATGAGGACCACTAAAAATTAGCTGGTACTAGTAACACAGCAAAGTCACTAGTCCCTTAGGACCAGTGACCCAAAATTTCTGTTTCAACCCCTGGCACCTTTGTTCTGGCAAAAGTGAAGTTATTCATTGAAATATCAAATGAAATGTTAAATCATTCCCGTTTTCATCATTCCATGGCAAAAAAGGGAGAGGCTAACAGTGTGGTTGCACACAAATAAAATATGCTGGCCAATAAACTGATCAATAGACTCATCAAGGGGGATCAGCTAGGCCACCTTCGGCCTTTACAGGTCAAGCAACAAAACCATCAGCTGCCCTCTCCTTAAAACAAATGCTGATGGTCTACTAATATGTGCAAAGTTAAAACAAAATACTATCAGCCAACCTAAGTATGAAAAATTAAAATTTCGAAAATCCGCTTGATGGGACCATTTTTACAAAAATTATGCTGTTTTTTTTTTTTGCGTCTTTCGGCATATTATGAGAACTCGTTTATGGCATTTTGTAGAGCTTGTCAAGCACAACACTGGTGGTGGTGTCCCTTGTTTTGGTTTCCATACAAATGCACTTACTCCAGCTGGTGGTACAATATCTGGAGGTGGTATCGCCTCTCTGATCCTCTAGTTTAAAAAATGCCATGAATTACCTTACTGGCTGAGTCTTACATCTTTTATTTGAAAAATCATAATGTGCAGCTTAGTTGTAGTCAAAATTTGAAAAGTGTATATAAAGGGTGAGAATTGGCAAAACCAATAATTGAAATCCAAGGCACAAAAAAAAAAAAAAAAAAACATTTAGCAGAAATCAATGTTTAACATTAAGAATCACTGAGTTTGATTTAGTTTTAACAGAATATGGTGTAGTTAGTTGGAGGTCAGACAAACTAATGTTATTTGGCACATTCTGGCATTATTAAGACTAAATTGAAGTCAAATCAAAAGTGCATGTTTTAGTCAAATCATGATTTACACTTTGCATAACTTTCACAGTGGAATGCTGGTCAGTCAAAAAATCGTGACATTTGTATGCAGTGATGTAGTCCCTAAATCAATATACTGGTATGCTAAAAGTACACAGTGTCAGTTTAACTGTTTATATAAGCATACGAAGGTGCTACTTGTTTATAATTAATTTATGAATTAAAGAAAAACATCTTTTTCCACAGAGTCGAGTATTTGTTAACCTTGTAGATTTCTCATGGGTTTTCTGTGTTCAAGAATGGCAAGCTTAGTGACACCATGTTAAGATAGAATTTAGTGAATAATTTGGAATAATGGTAAGTGTTGACTGAAGACTCTTGTCAAACAGCCTGTTCATTGGAACCAATTTTCTCTCTCATGATTCAGGTGAGAACTTTGCCACGACCCTCCAATAATGTGCACACGTACAAGCGTGTGTGTGTGTGTTCAGCACACACACACACACACGCACATATATAATATAGTTTTTAACTGATTGTACTGAAGTCAAATGCAATGATCAGTTTGGGGGAAAAAAAAACAGTAAAATATTTTAAATTTTCTTCTGCTTAATAGGTAAGCATGTGGCTAAAAAAATTATATAGTGAGCCCAGACACAAAATGAACTAGTATGTATACAATAACTGGATTTTTCCCATCATTCCTGTTTATCATTTACTCTTCAACAAAGATGTACAACAGAGCCTAGTGTTAACACTCATCTGCCAGCAGAAATTGTTTTGATCTATGAAAAACAATTGTTTCATGTATCTTGATCATTGATTGATTGTAAAAAAAATGTACCTTGAAGGTTGGTACTTGTTTACAAGACAGTCAAACTGGAGTGTAGGTGTTTAATTTCAGAAATAGTGTCTATCATTTTTTCCAGAAGTCCAATGTAGAAGAAATCCAAGGCATTTGGAACACACTGCAATCTCACCTGAATCCTGAGAGAGAAAATTCAGTGAGTCCATTTTTAATCTTTGGAATCAAGAAAAAGAAAGCGAGAGACTGATACCAGCATGTTGAAAGTTTCAAAATGCATTTCTTCGTGGTTTTGTTTTTGTACTTTTCTGTACATAATATTATTAGGAATTAGGCTTCCTGTATTTACAATGTATGTGGCACTAAAATCGGAGTCCCTTCTGAAGGTAAATTGCTTCAGCTGTTTTTTTTTTTCTGTTCATTTGATTTTTTGTATTATTCATATTTTCAAGGAATGGCTTACATGATAGGTATAAAGTCAAAAACATGTTTATGACAGAGGTATTCACAGTATTTCCTTTACACCTGAAAATGTCTAAGAAACATACATACTTCAGTGCATTCAATCAGTGCAACAGGATTTTCCAAGTGACTATCTGCTGTTGCACATACTTCTAGCACCTGTGCAAATTGACAGAACGTGATAGGCATGCTCTAACCTCATAGAAAGCATCTTTTCTATTCTTTTAGACTCTTCCTCATTTGTTGATTTAAATTTGTTCAGTTGAAGGATAAGAAGGAAAAGGCTGAGTAATTTATCAAAATTAAAGATGCTGGATTGTGAAAGACTGGCTCTAGGGATTCAAGGTACCCAATGAGTGTAAAACTGTCCAGATGGATGCACATTTTATCTTGTAAGAAGATCTGGTAGGTTTATTGTTATGCACATTTGGGCTGGTGACAAAAGTTAAAATTGCACAAGTCAACGATTGTTGACAACAGTTATCTTATTTTACTCTAGTCAGATGTACATCTTTGGTCAGACATTATTTAATAATATCATTTCTCTTTCTGCTCTAAAAAAATTTGATAATGTTATCTTTTAGATAATTTTGTTCAATAACTATAATTTCAAGAGTTTTACCTAATTAATTAAGGCAACATCTGCAGAGCTGAGATGTGTTGTTACATAAATATGATAGATTAAACATACCTGTAAAATTGGCTATAAAAATCAGCCAATCTCATTTTATCTGTCTTTAATGTTTGGGCGTATTGCAATAGAATGCAAAAGAGCATACAAATCTTCCAAAGGGCTGTGTTATGAAACTTAATAAAGCCAAGTGTTTATGACATTTACAGATAGGTGGATACTTTTATGTTACGAGAAGTTTTTATAGCTAGGTAATCTGGCAGTACTTAAGGGCCACCATGCAAGTGTTTATAAATGAACTCTACTTTCCCGATTTTATAGTCAGCATTACATTGTGACAGCATGGAATTTGTATGTTAGGCAATTTTGCTTTGATTCAGTGAAATAGCGGAGGATTTCAGACAGGTCTTGCATGTAAAATCTTCACAAAGTTTTAGGTCTCTAAGTGACTTTTTATGGATCACCACGGCTTTCCTAATGCAGATGATGACAAAATTGATTTTGGGATTGGCTATGTGTGGAACATATTCTCATAGCATCCATTTCTATATGAATGCATCTCTTCAATCTTGATTGATTTTCGTTACCAGAATTTCACCTTATTTCCAATTTGCCTAATGGTTTGAAACCATGGAGTTTCATATACAATAATATATAAGACAGATAAAAAACTTCTTTTTCTAAAAGGAGAAATGAAATCAAATTTAAAAAAATGGAGACTTGAAGGGATGCAGGTTATGTTTGACCTGACACAATAATATGGTGATTTTCTTTCAAAAATACTTTTAGTTTGGAAAAAGAATTGTAGTGCCTTTTTTAGTGTGTGTATGTGGGAATTCTTGCAAATTACGGTAATGTGCCATGAATTTCGCACAGAAAAAATTAATTAAAATAAGGAAAAGATTATTTGGTTGAAATTCATGAGATGGGAGGTGCTCAGAAATTGCAGATGGTCGAATTTCATGAAATTCTGTCATTTCGGACCGGAAGTTGTCTGTCCCTCACTAGGCCTTATGTTATCTTTTCCCAACGATCTCTGTGTCCATTACGATATTGTATAAAAGGTGATTGTTGGTAATTGCGACCCAAGGGATACACCTACTTTCACCTGATCGCTGTGTATGGCCCAAGGTGCTAGATAACGAGTGGTTCTATCAGTTAGGGATGCAAAACAGCATCATTATCAGTAGTGTCATTTTTCAAAAGCCAGAAACTAGTGTCGTTTTTCGAAAACGATCCTGGTGCTCAGAACAGGAGTGTATGGAGGGAGAGACGGCCAGCCATTAGCGTCTACCCCAGCCAGATAACCTTCATTGTGGAAACCGGGCTTAGTGTTACCGTTGCTCCTTTCCATGCGCTGAAGTTGAGACAACAGCCGATTGGTGTCTTTGGGGCACTTCATCGACGATTAGCGTCTTCTGCGACTGCAGTTCGGCGTACAGGTAGCCTTCACCACGGCAGCCGAACTGTGTATTACAGTCTCTCTCCGCTATGCGCTTTGACCAAGATGATTGCTGATTGTTGTCTACAATCAAATAAACTAGGTCGAGGGGGGTATGGCTCCTGGGTGCAGGGCTCAATATCAACGGTTGCATTTTGCAGCCATTTTTTTTGCTCAGGCAACCCAATCTTGACCAGCAGTTTTCTGACAACTCAACTGATTTCCTGGCACATAGTGGCACCAATGTACACAATTGAAAAGGCAATTTTCACATTTGTTAGTGATCAGATCGAGACAGAAAGGGAGCTAGAAGATCGTCAAACGAGAGGGCAGTTTTCATATTTGTTCAAGGGACTTCATTAGCAGAAGATCGTCAGCGAGAGATCATGAACGTTCTGAACGAGACAAGAAAGCAATAATGGCTATCTTTATTGCAGCTATTAATTGCTTCTCTTGTTCTGTCACTGAAGTCTCTGTTGTTGATGATGCTATTGTACGCCTCAGCAAAACTACCGATCGCTGTCTCACACGGACTACATTAAAAAAACGATAGGAAGACATTGCAGCTTTTAATTGTTTCTCCTGTTATCTTAATGAATGCATGGTGATGACGATGTTGTTTAGCGTCCTAAGCTAACTGTAACAATTGTTATTTTGCATTTTGGGGCACACACGTAGTATTCAGGTCAAGGTACGCTAGAGCAACATTGCCAACTGTTAGATCTTTATGAGCACGAAAATAGCACGATGGCCAATTTTAAGGTGTATGAAATTCACGAAAATCGAGATCGGGCAAAATTGCTTATTTGACGAAATTCATTGTCTATTAAAAACCCCAGATGACCAATTTTGAAAATAGTTTGAAATTTAAGGGCCGTTTGAAATTCATGGCACATTACCATAGCTGCAAGTTTGCTGCTAATTTGCAAGTACTTGAATACTTTCTTGCAAACCTGCTGCAAACTTAAGTTGTTATTGCAAAGTTGCTGCAAATTAGCAGCAATACAAATTTTTCTTTCAAACTCCTGCAAACTAGTTGCTTCAAACGTTTGGTTTGCAGCAAGTATACTGCAGTTTTGCCACAGTATTGCTGCAAACTTTTCATTTTGCTAAGGGTTATGATTTCTAATTTTCAGCACACTTGCTGATATTGAATACATTTGACAGAGGGGAAGCATCGTTAAAATATAATTGGCAGATAGGTTATGTTAAGGTCAACTATGGCCAATAATCCATCACTTTTTCAATTTTAGGCCCAATTACCTGTTGGTGTTGAAGCTGTGAAAAACCAAGCATGCCAGGACATTCAGAAATTGAGAAATCAGCTAAAGAAGACTAAGGGGATTTTGGCCTGTGTGGTAATTTTCTTGATATTATTACTTGTGAAATTCATATCTTATACATATATCTGCTGCGCATTTAATCAGAATGGTGGCACGGGATAATACCTTAGGGACTGGGTTCAATTGGCTAAATCAGGAGGTTTGATCAAGTTGAAATTTGTGATTAAGCTGATAGAAGGAAAGAGATCCTATTTGATCTAAATTTAGTACAAAATGATACCAGGCATGAAAAATATGTACATGGTATTTGGAGTAAATTTGGATATGCTATGCCATACAATACAATTGACCTACTGACTTCATTGAAAGGCAACACCAGTAGAATATTCAGTGTGATAATCTGAACAGGATAATCATCACAGCTTGCATTCTTCAGAGTATTACTTATGATTTTGTTTATTGGCTGCTTTCCGTTCATGATTGGATTTATTTACAACCCCCAACTGATAATGACTTCGTTTGCCCATCTGTGCACAGCACTTCATTTTCATTCATTAGATATCCAGACAGAGTGAAAAATTTAGTCTGGACATCACTGAAAAAAGATCAGATGTGATTCAGGACCAAGAGTATCAACTCCCTAAATGTAATCAAATTATTTTATCTCCATGGTTTGAAGTGGCCTATTTGACCTCAGGCATGTGTAGTATACAGAAAAGAAATGAAAATGTAATCAGTTTACTTTGGTGCACCATGGTATAGATGACAGAAACGTATCATTGACACTTTAAAATTGGATATCTGTTAAATTATTTTTATGATATAAAATATGTGAAAGGTGAGCAAGCAATTAAGCAAGATGTTATGCATACATATATATTTTTCAATTAATGACTGCCATTTAGGCAGAACAGAATGTTTCATCGCCCGGCAGCCCTAAATTCCAAGGGTCCACCATTCCGAGGGTCTGTTATTCTGAAAAACTAAAGGAGCCTTGAACGGAAAATACTGCTATTCTGAAGATCTGCTATTCCAAAGGTTTAAGGTCTGCTATTCTGAAGGCCTCTATTTGGAAATATTTCATCAATGCAATAGTTGAGCTGAAATGAATTGTATAAGTTGTATAATCTAGGCACTGACCTCCTTGTCGAAGAAGCTCATTATATTTGCTTTGTTTTTGCTTTTTGCACTCTATCTGTACTTTCAGAATAGCAGACCTTCGGAATAGTGGGCCCTCAGAATAGCAGGCCCTCAGAATATTAGGCTCCGTTCACATGAACAATCTATTTTCTGAAAATCTAAAAAATCTATTTGCGGTATCTTGTGATCACAGTCTGTGCCCTGAATACCCCACCACGTAATTACGGGCAGCGCGAGCCAGTTACTGTGAAATTTTCATTTTTCACATATTGGCATTTTCACTGTGACATAGAACTCCCACAGGCATTAAATCGAATGGTAATCAAATTTTCTAAATGTCCATGTTATTTATAGTGGATAATTAAAAATTGGTAGTAATAATGTGGTTAATCATTGTGGTTAATCAAAATTGACAAAAAAACCTACTTTATGCACTGTCACCACAAATGTTATGAAAAGAAAACTGTATTATTTTTTAACTTACAAGAATTATTCTAAGGATCGACATACGGCTCATATTAGAAAACCAGTGCTATTGGATTATCATTGGATTATAAATTTATGCCATTTTTTGTGATATTTTCATTTTTCTCGTTCTGACATTTTCAAAATGTGAACTTGAACTCTCCTTATGCTTGTTACTCATTTTACTGACATCGGTATTACTTGTCTTGCATAATTAAAATTTTGTGCAGTTAAGCATAATTTATTATTGCATCAGAATTGACAGTAGCCTATTTTGTGCATTATTATTTTCTGCTTTTTGTCTGTACATTTGACAGCTTTGCTGCCTTGTTTTTGAGTGTCATTAAGATCAGTGTTTATATTTTTATTTTAATACAGAAATCAAAGACGTTCCTTCAACCAGGGTTGACAACAACAGTGCAATTGGAGAGTACATCAGAGACTGATGTTCAAACTTCCCAACTTATTGGTAGGTAACCAGAGACAATTTGTTCAATGTGGCTTGTTATTTATGGGCGGCCAAAAGGGCAAAAATTCATGTTGTCGATTCAGTTATGTTTCATCGATTCACTGCCTTCCCATCGATTCAGTTTCAAGTTTAAACGATCCTGTCATAAATTCAACATCTACTTTCGTCAATTCTATTGTCAAACATTTATCATCTACGGTGTATTAAAACCAATGCTCTCATGATTTTCGTCGATCGTCTAACTATTCTCGTCAATCGTGTAATCTCGTCGATCGTCCAACTAATCTCGTCAATCGTGTAACTATTCTCGTCGATTGTCTAACTATTCTCGTTGATCGTCTCATCGATCGATCGCCAGAGGGCACTGCGGTAGCAACACGTGCTTCTGTCTGTCAATCACGCGGTAATTTTTAACTCGGCCAGCCATGGTCAGAGTTGAAAACAACTAGAAAATAATGTCCCTACAACCGAATAGATTTTAATTATTAACAATTAAAATTGAAATTGTTGAGAAAATTTTCTTATTTCACTAGCAATCATTTTGTTGTCTGCCATTTTGATAGTCATGTGATAGGCCAATGTGCTACCGCAGCGCCCTCTGGCGATCGATCGATGAATGATGAGGTGACGTTACAGGATCGACGAGAATAGTTTGACGATCGACGAGAATAGTTACATGATCGACGAAAATAGTTTGACGATCGACGAGAATAGTTACACGATCGACGAAAATAGTGACAGCATCAGTTTTAATACACCGTTGACGAGAAATGTTTGACAATTGAATTGAGGATAATAGATGCTGAATTTATGACAGGGTCTTNCGATCTTCGAGAATAGTTACACGATCGACGAAAATAGTGACAGCATCGGTTTTAATACACCGTAGATGAGAAATGTTTGACAGTTGAATTGACGAAAGTAGATGTTGAATTTATGACAGGATCGTTTAAACTTGAAACTGAATCGATGGGAAGGCAGTGAATCGACGAAACATAACTGAATCGACGACATGATTTTTTGCCCTTTTGGCCGCCCATAACTGAACTCCCATTAGATTAAAGCCTTTGCCAGCTAGCTCTCTCTCTCTCTCTCTCTCTCTCTCAAATCTACAATATTGAAAAGTCTGACTACAGCTTTTCCCATGTATCTGTGATTTTGCATTATGAATAAGTGAAGCTGTTATTAATTGAACCAGAATGAGGGCATAACCAATTAAGAGGCATATCCCTTCCCACTGCATCTATCTAAACCTTTACCATACTGGTAGCTTGAATAAAGGCATTTCGTCAATTTCATTATTTCAACTTCTGGTACAGCAGTAAATAAAGGTAGGCCTAATATTGCAATAAAATAAACACCTATTTACTCAAACTCTTATTAATTAATTATTTTTTTTCTGATTAATTCACCACCCTACATGTTTAATTAATAGCACATAAGGTGGCCAAGCATTATTTGCCAATTTCGCTGCTTTATAAATTGATGTGAGATAGTTAAGTATAGGTCTCAACACAAATCCTTAACTACGTAATATCATGAAAATGGACATGGTAAAAAGACTAGAGTGTTGGTCCCTCACAATATGGTGTTAGCATTTGGTTTTAAATTTAGTTAGGAGGTGTGAAATATTAGGAAAATGTTCCAGGTATTATTTCACCTGTTTTCTGATGATTAAAAAACCTTTCATGAAAATAATTCCTTGTGCCAGATTGTAGTACCTTTAGTTGTGATAAAATATGTAGGCCTTAAAAGGGTGTTGTTAGCATTTCAGGTGAGGGATACTTTACATGTGAAATCCCTAGTCGAAAAAACAGTGACATTTTCTTCACTTTCTATTTCTTTGATGAAAGAAAAAGAGTACTTGAGTACTTGTTAAAAGTCTTAAAACAAATAAAACTAATGTATTTTTAATATATACTATCCATACTGCATATGAGCTCTAAACACATACCATATGGATAGTAGTAATATACGACAGCTAGTTTAAGGCATAAGTCCAGAACTGGATACGTGGGAAACAGAATATTTCTGATCCTGATATGGTATGTTATCTCAACATGATTGTAAATTGAAAGTGGGAATTGCAGTGATCATTTGTTCCTCATGATAAAACTTGCATCATGAGAACAGGCGGTAAGACCTCCCAGTGGCAAACAAGTTTCACTTACAGGACTCGTAATCAGCCATGCCATTTGCTAACATGAGCCTTAGATTTGGGAGCACAAATGAACAGATTAATCACTCCAGCCACAAATTAAGAATGCCAACATAAAATTAGTTGCCACAAGCCCAGCATTTGGTGACACAAAAACTCTTGCAAGCTTCCATCCCGATTTCTGGCTGTATTAATTGATAGGCCCTATACCGTTTTTTATCAACCATAATGTGTTCTAATACAGCAGTATGTGCGTTCTTGACAACCTTGAGCTCATATGGAATGACAAGCGGATAAACAGTTTGTGTTGTCAAACACCAGACTTGTGGCAACAAATTTTACGTTGGAGTACTTCATTCATGGCTGGGGTTATTAATTTGGGCAATTGTGCTCACAAATTTGAGGCTCAAGTAAGCAAAATCATAACTGTTTATAAGCCCTGATTTAATACTGTGTCGGTGTAGTGATAAAACTTACCTTGTCTGATTAGGCAGTGAGACCTCCCAGTAGCAAGGCTGTTTCACTCAATGTTGTTTCAGTGTCGCAGTGTCCCTATTGATTGACTACGTGAGACACCATCCAATCACAACCATGTTCATTTGCATATATTTCTCCTTGTTGATCGCAATTTACCTTGCCAGGTTTTAGACCTATTTTTTCTGTTCAGCATTTAGCTTACACTAGCCATTTCACAAATAGAGTGCATTTCAGCATGCCCGCAGTTTAAGTTATATATCCTGAAATACATGTATATTATTTAGCCTTATTTGAGTTCTTTATTTCATTTCCATATACATTTATCAATATACATCTTATCTTGTATAATATATAGGAGTGTGCTATTCAACACATTAATAAAGTTAGTAATATAAAAGAAAATGCTACCTTGTTTCTGTCTTGCAGCTTTCAAAGACTGCAGAGCAGCTGAGGAAGATGGCGGTGATCTACTGTGTGTCAGTGGACGAGGTCCCGGTGTATGTGCAGTATTTTGCCATCACTCTGATACAGACAGCACATGAAGGTGGAATGGGGGTGAGTGGTCGGAATTTGAGTGGGTTGAAAGGTTTCTAATCATATCATAATATATTCTGACTTTTTCTAAAGACAGTTGGTTACAAAATCTTACTGGCTGGGGCAGGGGAAACACACGCAAATATAATTGCTTAAACTGACTTATATTGGCTAAAAAATAGGGTTGGTTTGACCGTAGTCAAATTTAAACTATTTGGAGAAAAAATGATAAAAAATAGTGGTTTGATTAAGCAGAAAAAAATTGCTACCATTACCCAAGACTTGGTTGTCTAACCAATGTCACGTTCATTGTAACAAGGTGTACTTTTATTGATTGTATGAGAACTTGAATTTATGGTTTATGAACAAATTTGTCTCTAAATATATGTGGTTTATAAGATATATGCATATAAGTCATTCCTTTAATATTCATCGTTATTTTCAGCACACCAGATCACACTAAGTTCATCGGCAACTTCAAGACCAAGCAAGACTTCATCGATGTTGTGGAGGTTTTATACAGAGGGGCCATGAAGGGCAAAGTGATGGTGACTAGCCCCTTGGACCCCAGGGACGTGCCAAAATATGAACTGATTTATAAAAATATATGAGAAATTATCCACTTGAGAGGTGTGATTGGTTCCATTTCCTACACTGCCCCATGGTACAGTCTAGTGGTATCACTTAGCCGAGATGGTGTTGATTGCACCCCGTCGGGTCCACCGCATGTACCACAGAGGTGTGACTTTGACTGAATATCATATTGATCAGCGTTTGCAGCCAACGTTCACAAACCTGAAGACGTTCCTTTCACTAGCATTTATTACGAAAATAAATACATTTTATCAACTTGGTGATTATTTGACGAAAAAAAATCAAGCAATTTTATTTTCATATACTTGGCTAAAGCAAGTTCCCTTTAACTGTTATTTTCTATGCTGGAGGCAGTGTGCACACCATTGTTAACAGTGGCAATCAAAAATACTGAAGGAACTCTCACAAGTATATGTTGATCAGATGTAAAGAAACTCCTCATTTACTACAGAAGTATGTTACATTGTACAAATTTTATTAAAGGTGTCCAGTTTAGAATTAAATGCCAAATGATATTTTCCCTGAAAATTAAGATTTTTTTGTGCTTTGCATTGCTTGACCTGTTTCCTGAAATGTATTAAGTAACCTAATTTAAAAAAAAACTTAATTGAAAAAATGGAACAGGGCAGTAAAGCTGTCAATTGTACAGGCATAAATAAAAAAAAGATGCAAAAAAAAAAAAAAAGTTAATTTGTTAATTTTTTACATAAGGTTTAGCAGCTAAGTCAGCACCAATTTTAAATTACTATCATGTAGACAAGAGGTAATATGGTTATAAAGAATACAAAACTAGTATAAGGCTTCAGGCCCATAAGAGGTCACAATGAAAATGCCAGAATGAGAAAAATTAAATTTTAACAAAATACTGCATTAATTTGAGAAAAATGATCCAATTAAGTTTGTATTCTCATTGGAGCTTGATGTTAATCATTCTTGTTACTTGAAAAATACTACTAAGTTTTCCTTTCGTAGTGTTTGTGGTGGCAGTGCACAAAATAGATTTTTTTCTTTGTCAGTTTTGAAGCAATGTTGCATAATGATTTCAATAAAAAGCAATATCACCACAAATTTTCAATTCACTGCTGAACCGGGCATGGAAATTTAGAAAATTTAACTACCATATTACTTCACGTGAGTGGGAGTTTTGAGTTCCATATTGAAAATGCCAATGTGTGAAAAACTGCATTACTTCCAGAAAAGGAATCCAATCAGGCTGGTTTTCTGATTCAAACCTGGGGTAGTGCTAACACTCGCCAAATGCTGAAACTAACTTTGTGTCTAATCAAAAATAAGGTTGAAATGGTTTGTTTAAGTAAAAAAAAATGATCAAAAAATTGTGATTTGGCCGAGCAATAAAAAAACTGCTAAATGTTAGCCCAGCCAAATGTATTTCATTAGTATACATTGGCAAATTTAGTGGCAGCAGCATTCAATTTCTGAAATAAAGCACACTATTATTCCTCTTTTGAAACTAGACATTTGACTCGCTGAATCATAGTTCTAAACCGTACCGTGTGGTACCATTTGTTCTCCAAAACAGCATTTTTTAACTGACCCAGTGACCCACACTTCAAATAACTGAAATAACTCCTTCAAAAAACTCCCAGAGATTCGTCCATAGTTACTATTGAACTTGAATAGGAAGTCATATGCTGACAATCTAACTGTGATCTTGAAATAGTCCTTTGAACTACTTTTTGCCATAAACTTCACTTCACAAATTTGGATTAAAATTTTTTATTTTCCCCAAGATTTTGTTTAAAATTGTAATTTTCAATAAAAATATTAAACTTTTGTTCTCTGCATTTTGTAGAGCTTGTCAAACACAACACTGGAGGGGGTGTCACTTTTTTTTGCTGTTACATACGAATGCACTTACTCCAGCTGGTGGTACAATACCAGGAGGCGGTATCACCTCTCTCATCCTCTACTTTTTCGTTTGGGTACTGAATTCATGACTAGAGTTGTTAATTTGGGCATTTGTACTCACAAATCTGAGGCTCCAGTTAGCAAAAGCACAACTGTTTTTAAAGCCTGATTTAATACTGTGCCAGCTTATTGATAGAACTTACTACGTCTGATCAGGAAGTGAGACCTCCCAGTAGCAAGGATGTTTCACTCGATGCTGTTCCAGTGTTGCAGTGTCCCTCTTAACTGAGGGGCCACATGAGAAACCCTCCAATTACAACCATGTTCATTTGCATATATGTCTTGTTGTTGCACGCAGTTTACCTTGCCAGGTTTTAGACCTATTTTTCTGTTCAGCACTAAGCTTATACTATCCATTTGACAAATAGAGAGCATTTCAGCATGCCCGCAGTCTAAAGTTATATATCCTAAAATATATTGTGTGACCTTATTTGAGTTCTTTATTTCATTGCCATATTCATTTATCAGTGTACATTTTATGTGGTTTATTATATGGGACTGTGCTAATCAACACATCAATAAAATGAGATAAAATATGAATTGCAAGTAAACTCACCAAATTTGCTTTAGCTATTGACAAAGGTGTTAAGAACAATTAGGTGTCACATATATGTTTGGTGACATCTTTGAAACCAATGTCTCTGAGGCACTCTCCTAGCATCTCTGGCAGATGTAAATGTTCCAAACCTGCAGGAATTTTTACATATGATCCGTAAACATTATCCTAATGAAAGTCAGTGAGGTTCATCCTAGATTTATAATCAACTGAAACTTGGAAAATGGCTTACCCCACTTCAGAAGCGATGCCACTTATTCCCCACCAGTCTCCCCATCTCCACAACAAAATTTTGGCACTACCCTTGAAAATGATCGGGATAGTCCAAAGATCATTTGTGCCAAGTATCATGCTTTTCCCACATTCTGAGCAATATCGACAATATATCGCACCAATCATCTAAACTATAATGTCTCAGTAATAGTGCTGCCCCATATCTGTAAGATCAGACATTCACATATGGTCAATATGGATAATGGCTTAATTTTCATATTATGTACAATGAGGAACCTCTTAAAAAGTACCACATGCAATACTAAGTTTTTTTATTATTTTTTATCTGTACGATACACTAAATGTGGAACCAATGTGATTTTATTAGTGTTTTTCTAAATAAATCTGACTTCCACCTGTGATTCTTAGATAATTGTGTAGTTCTGGTTACTTCAAACAGACATCTTCTATAGCAGAGTTTTCATTATATTGCTTTATTTGGGAGATTTATTTGTTTTTTCTGTAAAAAAGAAAAAAAATTATGAACAGCATGATCAAATTTTAGTGCATACTGCTTTACATCTTTAAAGTATAAAATATATATCTTCAATTATCCTTAAGGTTTTTTTTAGAATTGATAACAGCAAAGGAAAAAAAAAAAAAATCAGGATTTCAGCTGTGAAGAAAACCACCAGTTACAATTAATATGATACCATGAAGATTTAGTCCTGTTATGACATTAAATTAAATAAGTTGATAAAATAAAGATTTTATTTAAAGTAATGAAATAAATGTAAAACTTATTTTTTATTATTGATTTTCATTATTTATACTCCCAGAATTCAAACCCTATAAATAATATGAAGAATTTATAATACTTACTAGTGCAATTAAATCCGTCCCCTTCATAATCATAGTCGCAAGCACAATAGTAGCCACTTTTTTCATCGCACCTCTCATTCATAGAAGAAACATATAGCCCAAAGGCTCCATAAATGCATACGGCATTTTCCCCACACCTTACTGACCCTGTAATGAAATCTCTAGGAGTGCATTCCCATAGATTAAGATCGATCCATCAACATCGACCTAACTCCCTGGGGGTTCACGGTAAATTGCTGTAAGCCGAGCGCGCAAGGTTAATTACCCCCTTACAGCTTTTAGTAGGCGGGACAAACATTTAAGCCAGTTAGGCTTACAATAATCTGTTGAGACTCCCCACAGGGATAGATCAATCTAAAATCTGTGCGAATGGGGTTTAGGCTGATTGCATGGTTGGTAATTGTTTGCATAATTGCTGAGGCACTGAACCAAGCAAAGTCCCCTTGACAGCAAGCTAGACAGTTATTTGCTCTGAATTTAATAGCTTGTTCTTTTGTGACTGATAAAAATAGCCCCTTCTAAATTGAATAAGATAGTAAAATTGACTGTTTATTTAGAGTGAATAATTAAAAAAATTAAGGTTTTATTATGTATTTATTTTTATTATTTATACTCCCAGATTTCAAACCCTATAAATAATCTGAAGAATTTATGATGCTTACTGGTGCAGTTAAATCCATCCCCGTCATAACCATTTTTGCACACACAAAGGTAGCCATAAATTTCATCGCACCTCTCATTCCTCTGTGGAACATGCAGCCTTAAACGTTCATACATGCATACGCCATTTTCCCCACACCTCCCTGAAAACAAACTTTAAAAATGTAAAGTTGGCACCTGGTCAAAACATTGTCCCTTTCTGTTATCATCATTTGTGTTATTATGGCCTAAGTAGATTGAAATGAAAATGAAGATGATTAATATAAAGCACAATACAATCCATATTCTAAGCGGAAAGCGTGCTCCCAAAATCATCGCCATGTTGCCCATGCCCCAATGTTGTTACCCAGTATCATGGACGGGCAAACATATATAATGGATATATAATGGGCACCTAGGCAATAAACACACTGGTGGAGATGCTCTTGCCGCCATGGGGAAAAGACAGCATGACTGCCCTATTAGATGCTCAGAGCTAATACACGAACAATGTCTCTCACTGTCACATCTGCAATGAAAAGTACCCATTTCAACTCCTACTCAACTAAGTGCCGAGTGCTAAGCAGGGAAACATGCAGGTACCATTTATAAAGGACTGGTATGACCCAGGACAGGGTGGAACCCACGTCCTCCCGTTCTGGAGACGGGCACTTTCACCACAAGGCCATCCTGTCGGTTGATGTGCACGTATAGTTGCAAAGATTTGACTTCATATTAAGGTGGAGAACATCTTATTACTACTTTTTTCTGCATACTAACTCTGAACCATTTTCTGTTATCTAAGTCTTTATAATCTTACCTACAGTGCAATAATATCCAGAATAATGATTGGTACAGGTACATTGTAAAGCGTGTTCAGGTGACATTGTGCAAGTCCCACCATTGAGGCAAGGGTTAGGATTGCAGGAGTCTAAAAATAAAATTTGCAAAAACATTTGCATGTTAGGCATGCTCTTTCATTTTACATTTGTAGTTTATGTATATGGAATTTAATCATTTGAATTAATTGCACCACCAGCATAGGCCCTGGCAGTGCACATGGGTTAGTCCCAACCCATGATGTCTGGCTACCCTCTATCTCTATGAAAAACAGAGGTAAAATTATGAACAAAAAATCTGGAGGGATTGTTGTGAATTTAAAAGAGGAGTTAACACCCTATGTAACCACCATTCAGACTGAATGTGAATATAGGTATTATGGTTCAAAATGAATGGCATTCTACTAAAAAGTGACCGTGATTTTCATTTTGGTGCTATCTATATACCTCCAGAATGGTCAAAGTTTTACAACCCAGATGCCTTCCATGATATTGAGTGTGATTATGTAGATCTAGCCATAGTTATAAGTATGTTATCTTATTAGGGGATTTCAACTCTAGAATAGCCACTTGTAAAGAATAATGTGATACAGAAAAGCCGTCAAAGAATACACTTGGTGAACGTTTACTAGTTTTTTGCAAATCACAATCTTGTTGTTGCTAATGAAAGGTTCGGTTAGGGAGAATTCATCACAGGAAAAGCCAATGTTATTGACTATATCATAGGCAGTGTACATTTTTGAGTCTGATAGAGAAGTTAGAGGTACTAGACTTCAGTAAACTCGACTCTGATATACATAAACCAATATCATGTACTTTGAAGAAAAATGAGCCACTGATCCCAAAACAAAATGTGGAATCTGTTTATTTCACTGTATTTCAGGCCTACAGGCCAAGAGTACATTAATTGAGTTCTATTTATAATAATAATACTGAGCTGACTACACAAGGATATATATCATAAACGACACAAATCACTTATCTAAAAAACATCTCTTGATTTCTCAGCATGATGAAGGCAGCAAGTCTTTTTATAAAGTCAACATTATGTGATGACAGAGCAGTCGCTAGTGACAATGTTGTAATCTCGGGAATATAGCGTTCCCTCAGACCGTTATATAAACTACATGACATTAACATGTGTTCCTCGTTCTCAATAATTGTTATGCCATCAGAAAGGCATGCAGCACATACTCTATTTTCCCCATCTACACTGGCATACCGACCCTTCTCAACCTGTAAATTGTGGTTTGATATTCTGCACTTGCAGTAGGCTCTTCTATGCTCTGCTATGGACACAAAAGATAAGTATTCCTCAAATACCAAATCTAGTTTAAATGAGCTGTAGGTCCTTAGCTTGCCTGATTCACGCACTGAGGAATACCAATTCTGCCTGCTTATATCCATTAATCGTTGTCTAAACTGTTCTATAAAAAGTGCCACATTTCCACATCCTTGGTTTTCCCATACTACTCCAAATCCATATGAATATAAAAGATGCTTGATGTCACTCGCCCATGTTTGCCTCTCACTACTATCTAAGTCAAACAGTAACTTGTAGCATGATTTCGGTAGCCTACCGTCGTCCATACACAAAAGCTTGAACCAATACTTAATACATTTGACATGATAATCTATGTAAAGAGGGTAACGACCACATTCCCCAAGAACTGCTTGTGTGCTTGTATTATCCGATACAATCAATAATCTTTTACAAAACTTAACTTGAACATTCTCTATTGATTCGGATATTTCATAACCCCATATTTCTGCTCCATATGTAAGTATGGGTTTTATCATTGAATCAAATATCTTAAAACATAAGACGTGGGGCAAAGATCCCACATTTTTAAATGACCTGAAACATCTTGCCATAGATTTCTTTGCTTGAGTTGCTAAAGTTTGTTTTGCTTTGGACCAAGACAGCTTTGGAGTAAACATAATACCCAAGTACTTATAATGCGATACAGTCTCTAGCTCCACGCTGTCAAAAAACCACACCTCGTAATGTCTAAGGTAACCACCATTTCTGAAATCTATTACCTTGGTTTTATCAAGATTCACATTCATTTTCCAGCGTTTACAGAACAACGCTAAGTAATCTGAGAGTCTTTGCAGATTTCGCACAGTATCAGCACAGTTTGCTAAGTCATCTGCATATAAAAGCGAGGTAATGTTCATGCACTCCTGATTTATATAAATACCTTGGCAGGAGAATTCTTCATAAAGATAAATGAGATCAGTTATGAATAAGCAAAACAAAAACGGGCTGACCATGCATCCCTGCCTGGTACCAACACTACATGAGAACATTGACGTGTACCTTGATGTGTTTGGTAGCCTTATAGAAGCTTGCAATTGTGCATACATAGACTTAAGAACACTGAGCATATTGCCATGGATACCGTTTGCACATATTTTAAACCAAAGGTACTGGTGATCCACACAATCAAAAGCCTTTTGAAAGTCAACAAACATACAGTAAAATCTACCTCGCTTTTTCGACAAGTATTTTTGTATCATTGCTTGTAATAAAAATATTTGGTCCTGAGTGCGATACCCTTTCCTAAAACCAGCCTGGCATTCACTGATAATATCCTCCTGAGTTGCCCAGGTATTTAATCTATTACTTAATAATTTAGTAAACACCTTGCCAACAACACTTAGTAATGAAATGCCTCTGAAGTTGTTTGGATCGTTCGTGCTACCTTTTTTATGCAAAGGAAAAATGATGGCAACTGACCACGATTCCGGTAACTGTCCAGTGGCAAGAACACAATTAAGTATATCACTCAAACACTGAATGCACGCATCGTTTGCATTTTTTAAGAATTCACATGGAATGGCGTCCAGACCTGCCGCTTTACCATTCTTCATTTGTCTGATTGCACTGCGAACTTCCTCAACTGTAATCACTTTATTTAAATCTGATGGTTTATTTTCATCAAAACAATACAGTGTCCATCGTGCGTTCTCAGACCTTCCATAACGTTTTCATGAAAAACATCATCTATAACTGTGTTACCGCTATTCAATAACTCCTTAAAGTATTCATACCAGTTCGTGGCAGAGGTTTGTGTCTTTTGGCGAGGTGTCCTAGATAACTTTTCCACATTTGCCCAGAATGCCCTTGTATCATCACAACTTTTAACAATTCTGCTTCTTGCCAGTTGCTGTTTGATATCCTTTTTTTCACGACACATCTGTCTGAACACTTTTTTTACTTTCTTTGTAGTCTTTAACATTTGGCGCTCTTGGGTTTTTACGCATTTGATTTAACTTTCGATTTTTTATTTTGGCAGTCTGCATCCCACCAATCGGGTTGAGTTCTGTCTGCCTGACGACCGGTTTTGCCCTTAACCTTCATAGCTTCCGCAGCTCTGTAAAAGACTTGGTTAAGTAGCAACACAGACTCGTTTATGTTATTTTGCATTAAATCAGAGCACTGTTCAAGCATGTCTTTAGATATATTGTCGTCGAGAATATCTCTAAACTGGCTGGCTTTTGCAGCGTCCCATATAAACTGAAGCCCTTTTGTAACATTACTAGTCTCGGTCTCGGCCTCGTCCCCATCTGTGTGTGCCTCACATTGTATCACAAAAGACAAGGGGAAAAGGACCGAAAAGTCCATATCCAAAACATCAAAGTCAAGAATGCTATCAAATATATCCGAGTCTGCTATCACATAGTCAACTAAACTTGCACCATTGTTTGTAACACAAGTAAATTTCCCCTCAGGGTCATTCTGAGATCTGCCATTTAAAAAGTGTATACCATAATCACAACATAGTTCAGTTAAAGTTGTGCCAAATGTATTGACAACTGTGTCCTGCGAATTCCGTGGTAAATTAAATAAATCCGACTCATACCAATCGCCTATATCTAAGTACCTGGCATCGTCGTCAATAATATAGTCGTACAACTCACCAGTCCTGGCATTGAAACCGCCTGCTAATATTAAACTAAAGTCATCATACTTTAGCGAGATATCTTCCAGGTTTGCACCTAGCAAACTAATACCATTAGCATCTCTCCCATTATAAAACGGGGAACCTTGAGGGGGAATGTAGACAAAAGTAACAATAACATCCTTACTTAACTTAAAATAATGCTTTTTCAACCTTAGAAAAATCATCGATTCTGCTTCAGGTTTGATGCGCTCAACACCTTGTATTAAACATTGTTTTATATACACTGCCATACCACACACTCCTATACCTTTTTTCTTTTCCTTTTGTATACATGAAAAGAAATCATAGTCACGCAGAATAGCTTTATAGTCATCATGATCTTTTGCCCAAGTTTCACTAATAGCAACAATATCATAATTTTCCAACACACTAATACATTCTTTATTTGAACAGTGCCTTCTTAATCCTCCTGCATTCCAAGTAATAACCTTAATATTTTCACTTTTTACATTTTCATTTATGTTTGTACTCTTTGCCCGGCCACTCCCCTAGTCCATATTCACTTGTGTCTCCCGTCGCCTGGAATGGTCACCACCAACCAAGTTATATAAGTGATATAACACTGGGACATTTTTTTCTTTGTCGAATGTGTATGTTTGGCCGTCGACAACTAGTACGTCGTATTTGAAAACTGGGCTTTTATCCTTCTCCATACACTCTTTGAAAAAAGGTTGCAGATCGCGTCGCAATTTTGAGACTCGTTCCGGTAAGTCTTGACTGATGCGGAAGGGGAGATTTTGATCATTACGTTTTGATCGAAATGCAGACAAAATCCCATCCTTTATTCTCAGGCTACTGCAACTTATCAAGACGGGTCTCGGCTTCGTTCTACTAGGGAGACGAAATACACTTTCGAAGCGCAAATCTTCGTCTGTAAGCTTTAGATGCTCCTTAAATTTATCTATGACCTTGGTGCACGTTGTTGTGGGATTTTCAGCTTCATCCTCTGCAATGTTAAATACTCTTAAATTCTTTAATTTACTCTGCTTTTCAATTCGCTCCTGTTTTGTTATTGTGTCTGCTAATTCTCCTTCAACTTTTTCCAATTTTGCGTTCAATGCTGCCATACTTTCAGTTAATATCGCATTTTCTTCTTTGAGCTTTTTATTTTCGTCTTTTAATTCAAGCACAGACTTTTCAAGATGGTCGAATTTTTAGTTCATGGATTTGACATCTCTACGTATTTCAAAACAAAATGATTATTATATAATAACTTCATTGGCGGGGTATTGCTTAATTATCACGCCCCGTTTACACTGACGGTTGCAGTGGGGTAGGGCAGACTCAGTATGATATTTAATTATGCTGGCTTAACTCTTTTCTCCAACTGGTCCAATTTTTTATAAACTATTAGCATCCCTATGTTGAACACTGTATTTGCACATGTACCTCTATGTCGATTGTTACACTAGTTAAGTGTACTCTTTCCAGATATATTGTTCTCTGTCAGTCGTCAGTCTGGCCCCTCTACTTACCTTGTGAGTCAATGACCGAGACACACACCATTAATACCAGAACAAGGAGCGGCAACAATCCCATCACTGATTGGTTGATTTTCTTTTTCTTTTTTTTTTTTCTTTGTAGCTTACAATGCTATGAATGAAATAAAATATGAACAAATTGCTTCAGTTTTTCAGCAACAATAAGAAATCTTTAAATCAATGAAAAATGGAACAGGGCAGCAAAGCTGTCAAATGTACAGACATAAATGCCAAAAATTGATGCACAAAATAAGTTAATTTCAAATTGTCAATTTTTACATATTATTAAGGCTTAACAGCAAAACCAACACCAAATTTTAGATATAATCAAGAGGTAATATGGTTGTGAAGAATACAAATCTAGCATAAGGCTTCAGGCCCATAAGAGTTTACAATGAAAATGCAAGAATAAGAATAAATTAAATTTTCATAAAATATTGCATCTCTCTCTCTCTCGCTCTTTCTCAAATCAACAGTGTTGAAATGTTTTTAAACAGCATTTTATTGTATCTATTATTTTGCATGATGAAAAACTGTAAACTGTACTTCAGATATTATAGGTTCTGACAAATTTAAATGAGGGCATAACCAATTAAGTGGCATATCACTTCCCACTTCATCTATCTAAACCGTTACCACACTTAATGTAGCTTGAATAAAGGCATTTTATCAATTTCATTATTTCAACTTCTGCTGCAGCAGTAAATATACAGTAGGTAATATTATTGCAATAAAAATGAACACCTATTTGCTCAAACTCTTATTCATTTATTTATTTATTTATTATTTTATTTTTTCTGCTTAATTCACCACCCTACATGCTTAATTAATAGCAAAAGGTGGCCAAGCATTATTTGCCAATTTTGCTGCTGTATAAATTGACGTGAGATAGTTAAGTATTGGTCTCCAGCATAACTCCTTAACTAAGTAATATCATGAAAATGGACATGGTAAAAAGACTAGAGTGTGTGTCCTTCACAATCTGGTGTACGCATTTGGTTTTAAATTTGGTTAGGAGGTGTGAGATACTAGTACAATGTTCCAGGTATTATTTCACCTGTTCACTGATGATTAAAAGTAAACCTTTCATGAAAATTATTCCTTGTGCCAGATTGTAGTACCTTTAGTTGTGATAAAATAGACTTAAAAGGGTGTCGTTAGCACTTCAGGTGAGGGATGCTCATGTAGTCGAAAAAACAGTGACATTTTTTCACTTTCTATTTCTTTGATGAAAGAAAAGGAGTACTAGTGGAGTAATAAAAGTCTTAAAACAAATAAAACTGATGTATTTTTACTATCTACTATCCATACTACATATGAGCTCTAAACACATACCTTATGGATAATATTAATATACGACAGCTAGTTGTTTCAATCAGTGCAAAAAGTCTGATCAAGTGACAGTGTCTTCAAAAAATAAGAATACCAAAATTTGAGAATGTCCACAATATTTAAGGCACGAGTCCAGAAATGGATATGTAGGAAACAGAATATTTTTATTCTGATATGAATATGTTATCTCAACATGATTATAAATTAAAAGTGAGAATTGCGGTGATGATTTGTTCCTCATGATGAAATTTACTTCATGAGAACAGGCGGTAAGACCTCCCAGTGGCAAACAAGTTTCACTTACAGGACTCGTAATCAATATAGCTGCCATTTGCTAACATGAGCCTTAGATTTGGGAGCACAAATGAACAGATTAATCACTCCAGCCACAAATTAAGAATGCCAACATAAAATTAGTTGCCACAAGCCCAGCATTTGGTGACACAAAAACTCTTGCAAGCTTCCATCCCGATTTCTGGCTGTATTAATTGATAGGCCCTATACCGTTTTTTATCAACCATAATGTGTTCTAATACAGCAGTATGTGCGTTCTTGACAACCTTGAGCTCATATGGAATGACAAGCGGATAAACAGTTTGTGTTGTCAAACACCAGACTTGTGGCAACAAATTTTACGTTGGAGTACTTCATTCATGGCTGGGGTTATTAATTTGGGCATTTGTGCTCACAAATTTGAGGCTCAAGTAAGCAAAATCATAACTGTTTATAAGCCCTGATTTAATACTGTGTCGGTGTAGTGATAAAACTTACCTTGCCTGATTAGGCAGTGAGACCTCCCAGTAGCAAGGCTGTTTCACTCAATGTTGTTTCAGTGTCGCAGTTTCCCTATTGATTGACCACGTGAGACACCATCCAATCACAATATTTCTCTTTGTTGATCGCAATTTACCTTGCCAGGTTTTAGACCTATTTTTTCTGTTCAGCATTTAGCTTACAGTAGCCATTTGACAAACAGAGTGCATTTCAGCATGTTATATATCCTAAGTATATCATGTAGCCCGCAGTTTAAGTTACCTGTATACAGGTATATCCTGAAATATATTATGTAGCCTTATTTGAGTTCTTTATTTCATTTCCATATACATTTATCAATATACATTTTATCTTGTATAATATATAGGACTGTGCTATTCAACACATCAATAAAGTTTATATAAAATAAAATGCTACCTTGTTTCTGTCTTCCAGCTATCGAAGACTGCAGAGCAGTTGAGGAAGATGGCGGTGATCTACTGCGTGTCAGTGGACGAGGTCCCGGTGTATGTGCAGTACTTTGACATCACTCTGATACCTGCCACCATTTTTTTCTTCAATGGACAGCACATGAAGGTGGACTGGGGGTGAGTGGTCTGAATTTGAGTGGGTTGAAAGGTTTCTAATCATGTCATAATATATACTGACTTTTGCTAAAGACACAGTGGGTTACATGTACGAAATATCTTACTGGCTGGGGTAGCGCTTACACTTGCCAATATAATTGCTTAACTGACTTATATTTGCTAAACAAAATAGGGTTGGTTTGACTGTAGTCAAATTTAAACCATTTGGAGAAAAAAAGATATAAAAAATAGTGGTTTGATTAAGCGGAAAAAATTGCTAGCATTACCCAAGACTTGGTTGTCTTACCAATGTCACGTACATTGTAACAATGTGTACTTTTATTGATTGTTTAAGAACTTGAATTTATGGTTTATGAACAAATTTGTCTCAAAATATATGTGGTTTATGAGGTAAATGCATATAAGTCATTTCTTTAAAATTCATCGTTATTTTCAGCACACCAGATCACACTAAGTTCATCGGCAGCTTCAAGACCAAGCAAGACTTCATCGATGTTGTGGAGGTATTATACAGAGGGGCCATGAAGGGCAAAGTGATGGTGACCAGCCCCTTGGACCCCAGGGACGTGCCAAAATATGAACTGATTTATAAAAATATATGAGAAATTATCCCCATGAGAGGTGTGATAGGATCCATTTCATGGACTTCCCAATGGTGCAGTTTAGTGGTATTACTTGGCCGAGATGGTGTTGATTGCAAACACCCTGCTGGGTCCACAGCATGTGGCATAAAAGTCTGACTTTGACTGAATACCATCAGCCTTTGCAGCCAAGGTTCACAAAGCTGAAGTCCTTCCTTTCACTAGCATTTATTATGAAAATAAACACATTTTATCAACTTACTGATTAATTTATTAAAATAATCAAGCGATTTTATTTTCATATACTTGGCTCAAGCAAATTCTTTTAAACTGTTAATAATTATTTTTCATGCTGGAGGGAGTGTGCACACCATTGTTAACAGTGGCAAACAAAAAGACTGAAAGAACTCTCACAAGTATCTGTTGATCAGATATAAAGAAACTCCTCATTTACTACAGAAGTATTTTATATTGTACAAATTTTATTAAAGGTGTCTTATCTAGAATTAAATGTCAAATCAAATTTTCCCTAAAAAATTAAGTTTTTTTTTCTGCTTAGCATTGCTTGACCTGTTTCTGCACTGCAGTTAGAAGTTATATATCCTGAAATATATTATGTAACGTAATTTTAAAAAAACTTACTTGAAAAAATGGAACAGGGCAGTAAAGCTGTCAGTTGTACAGACATAAATAAAAAAAATTATACAAAAAAAAGTTAATTTGTTAATTTGTTATGTAAGGCTTAGCAGCAAAGTCAATGCCAATTTTAAATTACTATCATGCTGACAAGAGGTAATGTGCTTATAAAGAATACAAAACTAGCATAAGGCTTCAGGCCCATAAGAGTTCACAATGAAAATGCCTGAATGAGAAAAATTAATTTTTCACAAAATATTGCATTAATTCAAGAAAAATGATCCCATCAAGTTGGTATTCTAATTTGAGCTTGATGTCAATCCCAAAGATCATTCTTGTTAGTTGAAAAATACTAGTAAGCTTTCCTTTCATAGTGTTTGTGGTGGCAGTGCACAATTTTTTTTTCTTTGTCAGCTTTGAAGCAATGTTGCATAATGATTAATAGCAAAATCACCACCAATTTTTAATTCACAGCTGAACCTGGCATGGAAATTTAGAACATTTAACTACGATATTACTTCATATGAGTGGGAGTTTTGAGTCTCATACTGAAAAGGCAAATATGTGAAAAACTGCATTACTTCCAGAAAAGGGATCCAATCAGGCTGGTTTTTTGATTCAAAACTGGGGTTGTGCTAACATTCGCCAAATGCTGAAACTAACATAAAGTGTCTAATCGAAAATAAGGTTGAAATGGCTTGTTTAAGACAAATAAAAAACTGATGAAAAAAATTGTAATTTGGCCAAGCAAAAAAGAAAAAAAATGCTAAATGCAAACCCAAATGCAACTGTATTTCATTAGTATACATTGGCAAATTTAGGGGCACCAAGGGGAATTTGACCCTCCTCTCCCCTTCAATTTCTGAAATAAAGCACACTATTATTTCTCTTTTCAAACTAGAAATTTGACTAGATGAATCATAGTTCTAAACCGTACCAAATGGTACTATTTGTTCTCCAAAACACCATATTTAAACTGACCCAGTGACCAGCCCTTCAAATAACTGAAATAACTCCCTCAAAAAACTCCCATAGTTTCGTCCATTGTTACTATGGAACTTGAATAGGAAGTCATATACTGATAATTCAACTTTGACCTTAAAATTGACCTTAGACCTACTTGTCACCATGGGCTGAATCTTGCAAAATTTCTATCTGTGATATCTCCAAAATTAGCAAAATATCCCCATAGCTACTGTTCAACTTGAATAGGAAGTCATATGCTGGCAATCTAACTGTGATCTTGAAATCGACCTTTGACCTACTTTTCAGCATGAACCGCACTTCACAAATTTGGATTTAATTTTTTTACTTTTCCCCATGATTTTGTTTTAAATTGTAATTTTCAATGAAAATATTGAAANCAAAGTGATGGTGACCAGCCCCTTGGACCCCAGGGACGTGCCAAAATATGAACTGATTTATAAAAATATATGAGAAATTATCCCCATGAGAGGTGTGATAGGATCCATTTCATGGACTTCCCAATGGTGCAGTTTAGTGGTATTACTTGGCCGAGATGGTGTTGATTGCAAACACCCTGCTGGGTCCACAGCATGTGGCATAAAAGTCTGACTTTGACTGAATACCATCAGCCTTTGCAGCCAAGGTTCACAAAGCTGAAGTCCTTCCTTTCACTAGCATTTATTATGAAAATAAACACATTTTATCAACTTACTGATTAATTTATTAAAATAATCAAGCGATTTTATTTTCATATACTTGGCTCAAGCAAATTCTTTTAAACTGTTAATAATTATTTTTCATGCTGGAGGGAGTGTGCACACCATTGTTAACAGTGGCAAACAAAAAGACTGAAAGAACTCTCACAAGTATCTGTTGATCAGATATAAAGAAACTCCTCATTTACTACAGAAGTATTTTATATTGTACAAATTTTATTAAAGGTGTCTTATCTAGAATTAAATGTCAAATCAAATTTTCCCTAAAAAATTAAGTTTTTTTTTCTGCTTAGCATTGCTTGACCTGTTTCTGCACTGCAGTTAGAAGTTATATATCCTGAAATATATTATGTAACGTAATTTTTAAAAAATCTTACTTGAAAAAATGGAACAGGGCAGTAAAGCTGTCAGTTGTACAGACATAAATAAAAAAAATTATACAAAAAAAAGTTAATTTGTTAATTTGTTATGTAAGGCTTAGCAGCAAAGTCAATGCCAATTTTAAATTACTATCATGCTGACAAGAGGTAATGTGCTTATAAAGAATACAAAACTAGCATAAGGCTTCAGGCCCATAAGAGTTCACAATGAAAATGCCTGAATGAGAAAAATTAATTTTTCACAAAGTATTGCATTAATTCAAGAAAAATGATCCCATCAAGTTGGTATTCTAATTTGAGCTTGATGTCAATCCCAAAGATCATTCTTGTTAGTTGAAAAATACTAGTAAGCTTTCCTTTCATAGTGTTTGTGGTGGCAGTGCACAAATTTTTTTTTCTTTGTCAGCTTTGAAGCAATGTTGCAAAATGATTAATAGCAAAATCACCACCAATTTTTAATTCACAGCTGAACCTGGCATGGAAATTTAGAACATTTAACTACGATATTACTTCATATGAGTGGGAGTTTTGAGTCTCATACTGAAAAGGCAAATATGTGAAAAACTGCATTACTTCCAGAAAAGGGATCCAATCAGGCTGGTTTTCTGATTCAAAACTGGGGTTGTNTTTTTTTTATTCAAGCCTGGGGTTGTGCTAACATTCGCCAAATGCTGAAACTAACATAAAGTGTCTAATCAAAAGTAAGGTTGAAATGGCTTGTTTAAGACAAATAAAAAACTGATGAAAAAAATTGTCATTTGGCCAAGCAAAAAAGAAAAAAAATGCTAAATGCAAACCCAAATGCAACTGTATTTCTGGAATTACCGCACAGCAATCTAAAGCCTTAGAGAACATCCAAAAAAGGGCTCTTCATATTATATACCCTGAACTCACTTACAACGAAGCAATGGACATCACTGAATTACCTACCTTGAAATCTCGGCGTACTGACCTATGCAAAAAATTATTTAATGAGATAAAACTGTGTACACATAGATTGAACCATCTTTTACCTAACACTCGTGTCATAGAAAAGGACCTAAGGAATGTTTATAGATATGTTTTACCATGTCGGACAAAAAGATATAGAAACACTTTTATCCCATACTGTTTATATACGTGTCAATGATCAAGGTCTATCCATGAACTTTTAGCTTTTGAAAATAACAACGAATCACCATTTTTAACCTCATTATTGGTTTTATAACTTAGAATTTATCTTAAAGCTCTATTTTAGTACTACATCTTTATACTTTTATACATATACATTCAATATATGTCTTATATATTGCAAGGAACACAATAAACCTTTATTATTTCTTTATTATTTTATTTATTTCATTAGTATACATTGGCAAATTTAGGGGCAGCAAGGGGAATTTGACCCTCCTCTCCCCTTGAATTTCTGAAATAAAGCACACTATTATTTCTCTTTTGAAACTAGAAATTTGACTAGATTAATCATAGTTCTAAACCGTACCAAATGGTACAATTTGTTCTCCAAAACACCATATTTAAACTGACCCAGTGACCAGCCCTTCAAATAACTGATAAACTCATAGATTCGTCCATTGTTACTATGGAACTTGAATAGGAAGTCATATACTGATAATTCAACTTTGACCTTAAAATTGACCTTAGACCTACTTGTCACCATGGGCTGAATCTTGCAAAATTTATATCTGTGATATCTCCAAAATTAGCAAAATATCCCCATAGCTACTGTTCAACTTGAATAGGAAGTCATATGCTGGCAAGCTAATTGTGATCTTGAAATTGACCTTTGACCTACTTTTCAGCATGAACCGCACTTCACAAATTTGGATTTAATTTTTTTTTACTTTTCCCCATGATTTTGTTTTAAATTGTAATTTTCAATGAAAATATTGAAAACTTTTGTTTACTGCATTTAGTAGAGCTTGTCAAACACAACACTGGAGGTGGTGTCACTTTTTTGCTTTTATATCGAATGCACTTACTCCAGCTGGTGGTACAATACCAGGAGGCGGTATCACCTCTCTCATCCTCTACTGTTTCGTTTGGGTACTGAATTCATGGCTAGAGTTGTTAATTTGGGCTTTTGTGTCACAAATCTGAGGCTCCAGTTAGCAAAAGCAGAACTGTTTTTAAGGCCTGATTTAATACTGTGCCAGCTTAGTGATAAAACTTACCTCGTCTGATCAGGCAGTGAGACCTCCCAGTAGCAAGGCTGTTTACTCGATGCTGTTTCAGTGTTGCAGTGTCCATCTTAACAGAGGGGCCATATGAAAAACCATCCAATCACAACCATTTTCATTTGCATATATGTCTTGTTGTTGCACGAATTCACCTTTTAGACCTATTTTTCTGTTCAGCACTATCCATTTGACAAATAAAGAGCTTTTCAGTGTGCCTGCAGTTTGTAGTTATATTTTCTAAAATATATTGTCTGACCTTATTTGAGTTCTTTATTTCATTACTATATTCATTTATCAGTGTACATTTTA